CCTCTATAGCTGTGACACACCTTCCTGTCCCCCTTCTAATGCAGGGGAACCACCACCCCAGTCTGCCAATCTAGGGGCACTGTCACAGACCTCCAGGTGATGTTAAAGAGGCGGGTTAGCCACACCAGCCCGGCAAAATCCAGAGCTCTAAGGTACTCAGAGGGGGTTCTCATCCACCCACATTGCCACTGCGGAGTTTTCTGACCACCTTGGTGACATCAGCCTGGGTGATGAATGAATCCAGCTGCAAGCACACCGGCTCTTCTTCCACCATGTTTACAATCTTCCTGTTATACGCCTTCTTTAAGCGAACTAGCAGAAGGTTATTTCATTTTTAGTGTGATTTATTTAAAAACTAAACCATTGAAAAAGAAAAATGCTTTAGTAGAACTTATGCCAATGCTACTCTATAAGAAATATGCTTTAAATGAGACAAGGTATATGAATGAGCATGTAGTCCCAGGGGTTGTGGACATGATAACTGGTTTGTGCTATATTTGCTGGATCTCAGCTTTTTGTTAAAGATTCACAAGACTAGACAAGGGATGATAAAGTTTGCTCATAAAAATATAAAAGCAAGCAGCATATGCACTGGTGATGAGGCAGTAAACTCAGATCTGTTGGTTTACTTAATAAGTTACTGAAGACTCAAGTGTGAGTGACTGAGATACAATTAAACCAATAGATTTTAGATAGTACTTGAATGCTTTATACTGACAAAAGTGCAGAAACTACAGTTGTTGTCATATAATGTGTTTTATTTTTCAGCTTAAGAAAAGGGCCAAACAAATGTTACATATACAGGTGCTGGTCATAAAATTAGAATATCATGAAAAAGTAGATTGATTTCAGTAATTCCATTTAAAAAGTGAAACTTGTATATTATATTCATACATTACATACAAACTCATATATTTCAGATGTTTATTTTGTTTAATTTTGATGATTACAAATGACAACAAATGAAAATCTCAAATTCATCATATCAGAAAATTAGAATATTACTGAAGACCAATAAAAACAAAGGATTTATAGAAATGTTGGCCAACTGAAAAGTATGAACATGAAAAGTATGAGCATGTACAGCACTCAGTATTTAGTTGGGCCTCCTTTGGCCTGTATTACTGCAGCAATGCGGCGTGGCATGGAGTCGATCAGTCTGTGGCACTGCTCAGGTGTTATGATAGCCCAGGTTGCTCTAATAGTGGCTTTTAGCTCTTCTGATTTGTTGGGTCTGGTGTATTGCATCTTCTTCTTCACAATACCCCATAGATTTTCTATGGGGTTAAGGTCAGGAGAGTTTGCTGGCCAATTAAGAACAGGGATACCATGGTCCTTCAACCAGGTACTGGTAGCTTTGGCACTGTGTGCAGGTGCCAAGTCCTGTTGGAAAATGAAATCTGCATCTCCAAAAAGTTGGTCAGCTGCAGGAAGCATGAAGTGCTCTAAAACTTCCTGGTATGTGGCTGCGTTGACCCTGGACCTCAGAAAACACAATGGACCAACACAAGCAGATGACATGGCACCCCAAACCATCACTGACTGTGGAAACTTTACACTGGACTTCAAGCAACGTGGATGAAGTGCCTCTCTTCTTTTCCTCCAGACTCTGGGACCTTGATTTCCAAAGGAAATGCAAAATTTACTTTCATCAGAGAACATGACTTTGGACCACTCACCAGCAGTCCAGTCCTGTTTCTCTTTAGCCCAGGCAAGACGCTTCTGACGCTGTCTGTGGTTCAAGAGTGGCTTGACACAAGGAATGCGACAGCAGAAACCCATGTCTTTCATACGTCTGTGTGTGGTGGTTCTTGAAGCACTCACTCCAGCTGCAGTCCACTCTTTGTGAATCTCCCCCACATTTTTGAATGGGTTTTGTTTCACAATCCTCTCCAGGGTGCGGTTATCTCTCTTGCTTGTACACTTTTTTCGACCACATCTTTTCCTTCCCTTCGCCTCTCTATTAATGTGCTTGGACACTGAGCTCTGTGAACAGCCAGCCTCTTTAGCGATGACCTTTTGTGTCTTGCCCTCCTTGTGCAAGGTGTCGATGGTCGTCTTTTGTACAACTGTCAAGTCAGCAGTCTTCCCCATGATTGTGTAGCCTATAGAACTAGACTGAAAGACCATTTAAAGGCTTTTGCAGGTGGTTTGAGTTAATTAGCTGATTAGAGTGTGGCACCAGGGGCCATCAATTTTGAACCTTTTCACAATATTCTAATTTTCTGATATGATGAATTTGAGATTTTCATTTGTTGTCATTTGTAATCATCAAAATTAAACAAAATAAACATCTGAAATATATGAGTTTGTATGTAATGTATGAATATAATATACAAGTTTCACTTTTTAAATGGAATTACTGAAATCAATCTACTTTTTCATGATATTCTAATTTTATGACCAGCACCTGTAGGTGGGAAAAAATTCTGTGGTTATTTTGGCCACAAAGGAGGCCTTGTTACAGCAGCACATGATAGAGAGTGAGTCTGTGTGCAGAATAACATTAGATAGAAAAAATTATGTCTTCACAGACTGGCACAGTTTAATATAGCAAGGCTCTATCTTCATGAAATTAAACTAAAACTAAAAACACAATGGCAAAAAAAATAAAAATAAAAAATCTGGATAACCGGGACTATGAGGTTCTTAATGAATTTAATAATGGCAATAATGTGTTTTGGCAACATGTCATTTTTGTGTCAATGCAGAACTTTGCACACATCTACTTCCCGCTTTAGAATGTTAGTCCACATCAAAAGACGATATGTGGTATGAACATTCCCCCTACTGCTCTAGTTCTGACCTTGCTGCAGTTTTTAACAACGATATATCCTACTGTGCAGTCAAATTAGACCCCAATGAGAAAGAAAAGCATGCAGCCAAGATGGCCTAGGCTGTAGGAATGAAGAAATTCTTTGATTATGCTAACATTTTGTCCAGGCAAATGTCCAGGGGGCTGTTTCAGATGCTACTACAAATTAACATGCTGGATGTCGAGGGATTTTGTGGTTACCTGAAGTCTATGAATGTCAGGCTGGTTGGATTTACTGTCTGATCCTACAAAACACATTAGACTGATGGACATTAATAACTTAAAGAACATATGAGCAACAGCTTTGGTATACATTTTGATGGTCAGCATGCCAACATTGACTTTTCTGATAAAGACCCTTATTGGCTTTTTATTGTTGCCAATCTAAGCCCCACCTAGGCTATAATACTGCTGTCTAATCAGTTTCTTAATGTGCCACACCTGTGAAGATGATGAGTGATCTTTGTACAGTCAAATAGCTTTCTGATACAGATGTAGTTAGATTTGTGAACTACACTAACAAACACTGACACAAGTATTTTGTGTACATACTGTACAGAAGTCTTTAATCTTGGATTTGGCTGTTAAAAATGAATATAAATTGATAATTTATCATTTTTGATGGATTATGCCACTTAAGGGAAGTAAATCCAGGCCAAGCACAGCAGAGTGTAGTATATAGAAGACATGTATTGAGCAAGCTTGTTTTAGCCTGGAATGCACACCAGGCTAAATACATAAATAGTTTGAGAACTGTGTGCTGAAGTTGGCAGCACAAAAGATACAGCATTACAACAGGCAGCAGTTCTTTCTTCTCAATACTGGATATCGGCGATGACTTCACTGGTTAACACTGTAGCCAACTAGTGTAATCACTAAAACTAAAGCTAATGCCAGCTTTTGTCAGTCAACATATCCTTAAAGCCTCTAATGCCCTTTCCTTCAACATCTGCCAAAGTCAAAGCATTCAGAGTACTGAGTCGTAACTGTTGTCTGTGCTCAGGTCAGCTCACAACTCCCACTCTGGTAATCACAATCCAATCAGGCAGCAGCATTTGCACTCATATCAATCCTGTAGGTGTGAAAGGTACTTGAAATCAGGACTCCCTACTTCAGGCATGCACACATTCTAAGCTTTCTATCACCATCAGAACGGCACGTAATAATAACCTCCCCCGAATATTGTCATCAGATTTAAATAGTTTTATGATTTCATAATCAAACAGTAGCATTTCCCCCTTAGTAGCCTCCAAGAGCTGGATGGGTCTGTTAATCACTCAATTATTGACGGTAAGTCAGGTGTGTGGAGGTAGGGGAAACCCAAAAAACATGCTGGAGAGTCGGCCCTGAGAATCAGCATGGAAGGCTTCAAGCAATTTTGAATTCCATATTGATGAGAAATTTGGGATACAAAACAACAAATTGTGCCGAAAGGCCATGTGAAAGATTTTCATGCCTTGAAACTGAAACCTGAAAAAAAAAACCTGAGTGAATAAATTAAAACAATTGCTTGGAAGTTTTTTTTAACAAGTTTTCTATTATTTCCAGACTAATATACTAAATTTTTTCAAACAATGAAATGGATCAAAATATCGTTCAGTCAGTTGAAAAACTGAATACCTGTCACATATTTCTTGACATCTTGGCCAAAGCTTCACCTGACTCCCACAGATGATACCCTCATGGTTAAATGGGCTGTGACTCAGCGGTCACTGACACATACCTGCTTTCAGCAGAGTTGTTTGGCTCTGCCTTAATAAGTAACTACCTCCTCTGAATGCTGCCCACACAAAACACCACCAAGCACAGACAATATTCAGGGGTTATTTTTAGGGACTGGATTTTCAACTGTCTCACCTTTTTTTCCCACTGTTGTCTGTTATTACATACAAGCGAGAATACAAGGTGATGTGGACATCCGTATCATTTCTCAGACTTGTGAGTCATTTTCCAAACCTCAGTCTAAATCTCTTAATTGTTCTCTAAATATTGACACATTTCACCAATATCAGATGTACTCACCAGTATGTGGCTTTGCTTCCCTAAATCATTTAGTTAGAGTGATCAAACGTATTAGCAGCATAATGGAGGATATTATTAGAGCTCTGAAATGGAAAATAAGGACCATAAATGGGAGATAACTCTATTTTGCTGTTGCTTGAAAGCAGGAGATGACACGTTATTGCTCGGTGACAGTCAAGTATTGCTTTATGAGCTATATAAACATGCGCAGTAGACGCAGCTACTGATCAGGCGACATGATAGCAAAATTATAAAGAGATGGAATGGTTTTTCTAGAGGTTTCCAGGCAGTCTTCTGGTAGCTATATTAATGGAACTATGCTCTCTTGATTTATTCTAATGACCTATTGTGGCTCATTGGTAGCAAAAAAAAAAAAAAACATAATGACATAATGGAAAACTGATAGCAAACACTGGCTTAGAAAGAACCGTGAAAAACAGGAAAATGGGTTATACTATTTCCTAGAGGCTTTAATATAATTACAACTTCTTCAACTTGTTATCTACGCTGCAAATTAATGTTTTATTGTGTGCAACAGGTACTTCATGCATTATGCTTCTTTTTCTGTTTTGGCACTGACAACCATGTGTTACAGTTTTAACTAAGTGCATAACAAGAGGACAGGGTCCATCAAACATGATGCTTATTAAGATCAGAGCAGACTTATTACAGTTCAAGTTAAGAGCAGAACGGATGATGGCTTTGAACCACTTTCTCTCTGTCAGTTCCAGTTCCTGGGAAGGTTTTCCATGATCCTTCGCCGGTGTGAGGGGTTTGTTACACCTGCTGCACACAGATCCTCCTCAGTAATCCCGCTGCAATGGACAAATAACCCAGAAAAAAATCATGTAGCATCAAGTAAAATACACACAAGATAAAAGTGACCATTAAGATAAAACATGGATTTACAACCTGTTTAAAGAAAACTTTGTTTTTTTGTTTTTGTTTTTTCATAATAACAAATATTAATCTAAAAGACAAAATGAATTTTTTGGCAAAGGAATGCCAGAAAATGTTGATGAAGCATTTAGGAAAAAGGGAAGAAAAATAACCATTCTAAAAAGTAGACATTTAAAAAAATATATTAAAACTAACAGAATGCAACCTTAGAAAAGACACGAGAGCAACAATGAAAACACGCCATAATATTAAGAAGCAAAGCTTTCAAAAATCTATTGTTAAAGTTGAAACAGGTTTGTATTTTCACATTGTTTAGTTTATCCATTTTTTGTTTTAATAATTGTTTTTATGAAACCCCAGAAAAAACTTTTACTACACTTTAGAATAACTTTTTTTTATCTACAAATGAAACAGCAGAGATATGTACTTTTAATAAATGTAAAAACTGCCTGCCATAGCCCACTTTATATAAACCTACGCATTAACGGGAGCTACAATCTTCTCTTTCACCATCTTTCTCTCCTTTGTAGCTGTAGAACTGTTTTCTCTGTCTTTAAAACACAATCTCCTTTTTTAATGAATTTTTTTGCATTTCTGCGTTAAAATCTCTAGTTCCAGTGGGGTGAAATAGGCACTTCCTGTTGCCTGTTGTCATGGTGACTCGTCGAATTTGTGCTCCACTGATAATGGTTTTTCATACTTGTTGCAAACGTGCTTAACTATGAATGGGACTAGTTAAAATCAACTAAACTAATTGATAGCAGCCGTTGTGAAACCAAACACTCGACTTTAGGCTAGATCAATTTAGAGTTGCCAATTTGAATTTCAATTTGTAACACCTGCTTCATGACCCCATAACAATGAAGGCTTTATTAGCAGCTCTGTTGTGTTGAAAGATACGAAGGACTGTATCAAATTTTTTGTTTTTTTTGCCAATTTTTACAGGGATTTAATAAACGCTAAAATGCGTCATCGGCATTTGAACAAAGTAAGATGTTACTTTCTGTTTATCCCATTGTTTTTGTTTTGCTGTTGTTGTAGCTAATTTACACTGCTGGGATGTAATAACAATAAGTGTTACTTCAGTTAAAATGTTCATGGCCTATGTCTTGCATTATTACATAACCTGTTACTTATGGTTAAAAAGTATATGATGTGCTTCTAAAAATGGTAGAGTTTTCCTTGTCTACACATGGAGAGGGATTGAAACCATTCAGAGAAATAGAAAGAAAAAGTGGAATGAGGTGAAGACATATTACCAGACAGTTCTGATAGTGTCTTTAAAAATGAGGAACAAAAAAATGCTGTAAGAAAATGTTGCTTTTATAAAGGCTAAGAGGTAGTGATGCCATCTTCGTCAAGATTATATAGTTATATTTTTTTCACTTTTTTAATGTATTTAAATTGGCAACTTATGGGCTAATAAATGTAGTTAGATCAGCTTGATTCTATTGTTTTTACCAATTGAAGCAATTAAGTGAAGTTGGAGCTGCATTCTCTTTTTAAAGGTATCTGCTTCTCCCTGGGCACGCAGTCTCTTAAAGTCTCAATAAAAACTAAGACATTCGATTTTTTTATGTCTTGGAGAAATTTTGTTTTTTTATTGAAGTTTCTTGTGTTTAAGATGTAAAAGATTACAATCTAACACCAAGCTCCTCTTAGTTTGTATTTGCAAACATTTACAGATAGCGAGAGAGCCATTATTATTATTTTCAAAGATATCAGTCATTATTCTATGAATGTATCTAGAATTCTTTACCTGAAATAATCCAGATCATCCCAGCCATTAAGGCTAAGTCCCAAGGTGTACTTTTGAAGACCTAGGGTACTAAGAAGCTCCTGCACAGTTTCTGGAGCTCCTTTTAGGACAGACACCTGCATTTAGATGAATTTAAATTGTTTTAGAGAACCAGGAGTACCATCATTTAGCATCTGTGCTTCTGAGGAGGATCTTACCTCTTTATCCCAGAAGCAGCCTCTGTTTCCATGCACGGAGGGACTGTTTCCATAAATCACCCTCTGCCTGACTGGGACTCTCTCCTCTGAAGGAAAGAAGTCAACCTCACTGAGGGACTTGGCAATTTGCAAAGCAGTGAGGGAGTTGTCCCCTGCTGAGGGCGGCTTATCAATGATCCAGGAAACAGTGTGCTGCCTATGGTCCAAGGGAGCAGGGATATATGGCAGGAGTGATGGGGACTTTGCATTGATAGCATTCGTTCTCACTGGAACAAAACTGTGTTTTTCGCTCCTGTCATTTTTCTTTAGAATGTCTGTGCGATTGATATACACGTTGCTTTTAGACTGCATGGAGTCCTCCTCAACATTTTGTTGATCCTGGTATTTTTCTCTGCTTTGAGAAGTTTGTTGCTGGAACTGAGGAATGGGATCTTTTGAAGGAGGGGGCATTGATGGGCTTTGGGCTGGGAAGAGCTGATAGGATGAAATGCTTTGGGACGGGTGGAGGTCTTTTGTTAGATTGCACTGGGTAAGGTTGGCTGGAATTTCAATCTCTGTAAAGTCTGATCTGCGACAAGGTGTCCTGTCAAAGCCTTGTCGCCCTGAGACTTTTGGAAGCTGCAGGGCCTCATTTCCAGACCAAATCATCTGAGGGTCCCTTTGCTGGGGAGGAGGCTCCTCCACTCGTTGTGTTACTGATACGCCTTCAAAAATGTAGTAGGCGGGGTTGGTGTAGCTGTTTGCTGCAGTTTTAACAGGAACTTCCAATGGCCTACAAAGCATAAACAGGAGTAAATGTTTACAAGATGAACAATTATTTTTTTGCAATTGTTAGGAATTGTTTAGAAGAACAGCTGTTAGCCATCTTCATTCTGTTAAACAGCTTTCAACCCAATGAGCGGAGGCATGCAACTGTCATTTATGAATTCAATGTTTTTGGTCTATTCTGTCAAAGGCCATCTTTAGGTAAAAAAATACCAACAGCATATATTCTAATATCCAGACAATCTATTAATTTGTGTAAATTATTGCAAATTATGTTAAACTTTGGGCTCTAAATCGATACTGACTCTGATAGGATACAATAATTTTTAACATAACCACTCTGAGCACTCTGGTCGGTATAAACAGAGAGCTACTTAAAGCTGACACCCGACCCACATGAAGAAACTTGGCAAATAGAATGAATGGTTAGTTAATAATGGTTTTGTTTGTGCAGTGATAAAGATTGTTTATGCTGCTTTTGTTACTGAGATATTAAACAATATTTTTAAGGTCATCCAAAGATCACCATCTCCCCATTAAGCTCCACATTGAACCAAAGTGGTCTAGTCTATTTTGGCAGTCAGATTTGTACAGTAAAAAAAAAATGTTTGTGCTGCTTTGGTTTTTAAGATATAATAACGCCTACATGTGGGGTAAAGTGAGACTTCTTGTTTAAAGAAAACCTTTGTTGGTTTAATTTTATCGCCTGCTAAGCTTGAGTGAACATACAACAGTAAATGTAAATAACCTACTGTGAAGGTTTATTTTGAGAAGGCAGATTTAAAATGTTTCTTCTGCATGAATATGTTATTTTTGTATTTGTGTATTTTAATTTGTGTGCAACTTTAGATTTTCGTCTGTTTGATTACATAAACAAAGTCAGGGCTTAAGGAGCCTTATCATCCATTAACTTACTCCACTATATTCAAATATTTTCTACATCTCAAGTAGAAATATATATATATATATATATATATATATATATATATATATATATATCCTCTTGCATGCTGTTTTTTCCATTTATTTTATTTAATGGTGGCCAGCCTAACTTCCAAATCCATTTTCAGTTCCAGTTACAGCCTATATTGAGAATTTATACCTTTATGGTGGTAAGAATAGTCCACTTCTCAGTGTCTTGGTTCTCATTGGTTTTTTTTATTTTTATTGAAGCTGTAGTTTATCACTGGTTTATCACTCAGTATCACTCAGCACTAGGCACTGACCAACAGTTTGATATTATAAAACGCTCATCAGAAAATATCCCACAGTTTATCTGTGATAAAATCTCACAAGAAGCTTCTTTCAACCCATACAAACTAGAACCTAAACACTCTTGGCATTTCCTGAGAAAATAAAAGGGGATTTCAGGCATGAAATTCTTCAAAAGTTCCTCAAAACTTTACAGATATATTTGGCTCCTCTCTAAGACAACACAGCAGTAAGACCAATAAAAACAGACAAAATGTTCTTAAAACTGAAATTATAAATGGTTATTTTTGATTAAAAAAAAGGATAAAAGATGGTTGTTTGAAAAAAATTTAACTGTCAGAGGAAATATTTACCAAATCCTCTTTCAAGTTAACTATGAACAAACCTGTGGTTATATAGGGCTTTAAAAACACCAACATCTAAAAAGAGAAGTCAAGTAAATGGAGCCAAGTAAATGGAGCAATGCCCCATTTACTTGGTTTCAAAAACAGTAATTGTCAGAAGTTAGGCTGCTCTTAATGCACTATAAAGCAGAACTTTATCTGGACAATATCTTGAAATGAGAAACTTAAACACGCAGGATACTGGCTAAATACTTAGCACTGATATTAATGACCAAATTATTGTCTGGTTTTTAAAACAATAGCAGCATGCACTATAAAGCAGAACTTTATCTGGACAATATCTTGAAATGAGAAACTTAAACACGCAGGATACTGGCTAAATACTTAGCATTGATATTAATGACCAAATTATTGTCTGGTTTTTAAAACAATAGCAGCATGTTCACCAACGGAGGCTTTATAATAAAACAGTGTTTATTTATTATTTTTTTCTTCTCTTCTCTTTTTTTACAGTGACAGTTACTAAAACCAAGGTATTTGCATTCAAACTGACTGGTTTTCTTATGGACTGTAAATACAAAGTACTGTTTTCAAATACTTTGTTTAAAATAAACACATTGTGTGTGAGAAAAATTAAATATCTCATTTAATCAGCTTATCTTTAAGTAGCTTTAGGTTAGGTATGCTAAATCACAGGTGTGCTTTACGTAGGTAGGCCACAATGAAAAGGCGCTTTTAAACAGCTGAGGGATAGACTCACAACTCACAGTTTAGAGTGAATTAATTATAAGAAAACTGCACTTTTTTTTTTTTTTACACATGACATTTTATCAAATCCAAAGCTTTAGCGCTTTTTTACAGTATTGCATTAAAATAATTGGCACATGTAGATGCACATAAGTTATCTCAAGAAACATAGAATCAGACTAAAAACGTGTCATTTAAAAATAACAGTCTGATTGGATTTGTCAGGATTAGAATGGAAAGGTCATTGATGATTATTCCAACTGGCATGCATGTAAACGCTCATTAGGATCACGTAATTTTGTATGAGGCAAGCTGACTTGAGTGTGCATGTCAACCCCATGTCAACATGTGGCTAGATTATTTTAGAATATTCCATCTGACATGTTTACATGACACAGTTTTGACTGTGAAAGTACCACCCGATTATATTTTTGTTTTTAAATACAAATACATTTCAATCAGATCTTGAAGTTTTGTGCATGTAATAAAAGCTATTAGATGATGATGGTGATGATGGATGTGAGACACTCATACCTAGTTACTGGGATCCGTGTTACTGCAAGGGACACATTTCCCCTTCCAGGACCTTTATCAATTTTCTCAAGACAGAGCAAGTCTGAAAAAGCAAAGTTACAGGACATGAAAATGACATTTTGCACTGATCAAAACTTTTTAAAAGTCTGTGTTCCTTGCATGCAAAAGACTACTGCCAGTTTGCATTTGCTCAGCAAAGTTTTGTTTGTGTGTGTGTTGTGCCTGACCTGGTGGCCTAATACTCAGTGTCTCAGGATGCATCTGGTCAGCATCAGTCAGTCAGGAGCCAAAAGAGGAAGTACTCGATAGATACCAGCAAGAGTGTAAAGCCAAGCCATGGGATCATTGAGGAACCAAATAGAGGAAGCAATGTGAGGCACACAGGAAAGTTAAGGAATGCAGTGAGAGTGGAGATGAGGTTTTAGAGGGAAGTGATAGTGCAAGCAAGGCACAGTTCCAGAATACAAGTTTTTCGGCTGACCCACCATAAATCTTCTTTCGGATTGCTCGCCTGTCCTTGGGCACATGAACTCTGACCCGTCCTCGGATGGAGCCCATCTCCTCGCCCCGATGACACAAAAAAGTCTCAAATTTCTGTGATGCACCCATCACTGTCTGTAGAGCCACACAGCATTCGCCTAGGGAAATCATTTTTAGTTAAAAATGAGTGAAAGTTCTTGAAAAATGAACAGATTTTTTTCAAATTCAGTTATATGCTTTTTTGTAAACTACACCATCAAACCTTTATTACAGAGCTGTCAAAACATACTGCCTTTTTTGCTACTTTTGATTTTTTTTTTTATCAGCCCAAATGGATCATTTTCTTTGAAAGGCTGACCTCTCAAATAGAGGCACTATATACAGTATATATCCATTCCAACGGCCAATCCTCCTAAAAAATGTTAACATAATACTTTGCACCAGTAGCTGAAGTGAGGGTAAACTACACAGAAACAACTTGTTGTCTGGGTTTCTTTGGGTTTCAGATAGTAAAGATCAGCCATTTTCACAGAAAAGGCTTTGCACTGACCGTATGATTCAAATCCATCGCATGACTTCACAGATAACAGCAAGTGCTGATCCTGGAGGTACTCCAGATCAGATAAGACTGGAATGAGCTTTAACAGATTAAATAAAACCAAAATTAGAAGAAAAAAAAAAAACATTCTTCTTAACCATTTCTTTTTCTTTCAAAAGGAGTAGCTTACCTTCGGAAGCTGTTTGCTGGTCCAGCCCAGTTTGAGAAACCCCGGAATGTTACAGCTTTGCAAATTATTTTCACTGGAGCGTTGCGTCTCTGCGAGCCAAGTTAGGAGTTAAGTCTCTATAACTGTGTTGTTTTTATGCTACACATTCTCATTCTGACAAGACAACACACCTTCAAGGCAGGAGGAGTGAAACTCGATGAAGAACTTTGCCTTGCTTGCCGTCTTCACTATGGTGTCAATTTCCTCCAGCTCAATCCAGGTCCTTTCCACACTGGAATTCACATCTGTTTCATCAACAACACAAACACACACATGCATAGTTATTGATTTAACAGATATATGCCACCAGGTTCCAGCAATTTAAAATCAAAGGTTTTACAATAACACAGGCACCTGATTTGTTGCAGCACTGAGATGTCACTCCCACTTGGAAAGTAGCAAAAACAGGCGAATGATCACTTGTAAATATGTCATCAGTGCAACCTGGTAACAACAAACGGTTTATTTAGTTATATTATTGTTATAAAATCAGCTCAACAGCTTAAATACTCAGTGGCTAGCAGTATGCTTAGGCACACTAGCTGTCAGTGTATCAGAACTTTAAAAAGGCTGTTAATATCCCTTCAAACATCACCCTAGAATCTAAAACTTCCATTTATTGTTATATTGTCTTTTAATGAATGAACCAATAAATAAATGTTTTACTTGCCTAGATGTGAAATATAAATACCAAGTAAGGTTTCTTTTGTAAAGTACAATGAATATTATGAATGGTTTTCAGTAATTATTCAAACAGAATTAACGAAAAGCCAGCATAACCAGACAACTTCCAATTTTTCTTAAGTTATACAGTACAAGGATCTTCAAAGCTTCAAACATTTCAAAGAGCACTGCTAAATCTATAATTCATAAATGAAGTTTATGGCTAAACTGCAAGACAGTAAAGACAAGGCCAGTCAATGAAAAGCATCCAAGAAAACCATGATAACTCTGGAGAAGCTGCCCAGGGGTCAGTTTCACAGATTTAACAAATTTGGACTCCAATCCTGAACTCTGAGTTGATCTAGCCTAAGGTTGGAAACTCTGGGTTTTTGGTTTCACAATAGCTGCTGATGAGTAGTTCCACTCAGAGTTAAGCACGTGCTTAACAAGTATGAAAAGCCCTCATCAGAGGATCCACGATTCGACGAGCCACCATGACAATAGGCAACCGGAAGTGCCTATTTCACACAACTGGAACTAGAGATTTTAATGAAGAAACGGAAAAATAAAGCACAATGTGGTTAAAAGACTGAGCAACAGCGCTACAGCTGCAAAGCAGAGGGAGATGGTGAAGGAAAAGGCTGTTGCTAAGGTTAATGTGAAGGTTTTTATGAAGCACTCTATTACTAGCCTCGTGAGACCATCCTGATCTCGCGAGCTTTCAAGATTTCACTCGCTAATCAGTCTGGAGACTCTCCGTTGAAGAAAATTTGGAGCCGTTCACCAAACGAACGTCCAATCAGCGTTGGCTTTGAGGCGAGTTGAGGTGTGACGCAACGAGAAGCGCGACAGTTCAGTCTAAAGAACATGCCGGCTTCAGCCGATGAAACTAGCGTTAGCGTGGCTATCGAGCAAGTTTTATCGGAATTACAGAGTATTTCTTCACTGAAAGAAGAGCAAATCACTGCTCCGGAGGCTTTTCTCAGAGGAAAAGATGTTTTAACTCTTCTCCCGACTGGTTTTGGCAAGAGTAGCCTGGCTGTTAGTACGTCATATGCTTCGTTGATCTGATTGATCTATCACCAACATAGGCCAATCAGCTAACCAGTATTTTCGCCCCTTCCCAAAATTACTTCAACGGAAGGTTTCCAGATGGATATGCGGAGCAAATCCATCTGGCGGAGTCTGGTTACTCTTTTACAGGCTGTTTTTACATTTATTTAAAGCATTCTCCTGTCTGTTGTTCCATTTATAGATAACTGAAATAGGATATTTCCTGGCCAAAATTCCATTCCTATTCAGAAATTAAATAATGCATTTTCTAAATTACATGTTTGGAGCAGAAACTGAATTTCTGAAAGTAAAACAACAAAATTATAGTAGTAAGAATTAAGTTTTATATACTTAGACATGTTTACTTATTTTAAGTGGCAGTTTTGACATTTATCGGCTTGACTGAATATTTATTTCTGATATTTGAAATATATTTATTCCTAATCAAAATACTGCAAATGCATCAAGAATATTTATTCTAGATGTGAAGAATGTCATTTTGTTTGAAATGGTAATTTTTACCAGGAATTTTCTTTTTTTTTCAGATATCAGGAAATTCAGTCAAACTAAAACATATCAAAACAGATTCATATTCTCTCTATGTCAACCTGAAAACTCAGATCCCTGATTTGAGGTTCAGTGAACCTGCTTTGTGAAGCCAAGAACCCAGAACCACAAGTTAGGAAGGAGAATCGACCAACTATTACGGTAGTCAAGCACTCCATCAATCTGACACAATTGAAAAAGCTACAAGAATGTTCATTATTTCAAAGAAAATAAAATTGAAGTACGATGAAAACACATTTATGTGTCAGAATGATCAGACAACTCCAATTAAGAAGCTGTGGCAAGATTGGAAAATCCACATCTATAGATACTGTTATTTTCTGTATAAGGGAGCTCAGGCTACTTTGAAAAATGTACAAATACTTATGCAATGCACTGTATTTCAACACAGTTTTTACATCATAGAAAAAGAGAACCGGTTGGTCTAAACAGAAACAAAAGCATTAGACAGTGTTGGAGATGATTCTGCCTTTTTGAACCACAAACCAGTTTAATCATCATTCAAGTTACTACAATTACTTTCCCTTTTAAAACAAAAAGTGCCAGTAACCTTCTACCTCGCAAATGCTTCTTGTAACTCTTAAACATTTTGACTTAAGCTCACATTCATTTTGTTTTCCTTTTGTGGGTTTCTCATAAAAGACTTATTTTTCTAGGAAATTCTTTGGCTCTCACCATATGCTGTGCAGATGATGTGCGTTTCTGGGTAGGACTTCCACAGAATCCGGTCACACCATGATGGAACATTAACTCTCACCTACAGGGAGAGAATGCAGCATGTAAACAGAGAGAGTGAGAGACACGAAGACAGAGACACTGACAAAGAGACAGAAAGACAGAGAGCGCATGAAGGTACCCCTTCCTTCCAGTTACGACAGGCATTCCTCATTTAGACAAGAGGTTTATTCTTAACCTGCTTTTTTTAGCAAACCGAGCAGCTGCTTTCAAAGTCACTTATCCCCACAAATTCCTGAAATAGGATTAAGTAACAAATAAATAATCTTAAGAAGTGTATACTTGGAAAGGAGCAGTTGTGTTTCAGCTTTCTAGACTCAAGCTTACTGATTTGAAGATGAAGGGATCAAGCCTAAGTTCTTGCAAGCTTGTGGTGTTTTGGCATTTGACTGAGCTTTTTAAGCTTATGTGCTGCTTGGAATTCTTCCTTTAGCTTATCCGGTGCTCAGATCAAAGCTTTCAAACAAGTTTCAATCTGTAGATCCTGAAGCTAAACTCTATGTTAAGCAGGTTTTTGCCCACCGATTACAAACTGCATAGTTTATATTCATAGCAAATATGAAGACGGCCTACAATGATCACTGTAATATGTCAGTTGCTTAGTTCTAGACTGGAAAGACTGGTGTAGTGTTTTCATCTCCATGTTTGTAGATTAGCAGGCCTTATACTTCTTCTAAAAGGCATTTTTTGCAACAGTTTGCAAATCCATTTTTATTTCAGTTTTTTCTGTTCTATGCATCATCATTCTTTTGATTAAAATTGAAGCCGCAAAGACTCACTCCTGATGTCTTGTACTTCTGCCAAAGGTAGCAGTCTCTGGAGCCTCGTTCATAACGATAGGTGGGTGGAAATGCAATCTTCTCCTCCTCTTAATCACAAAAAGCAAAGAAAGCAAAGTTAAATTCTTCATTATTAGAGATTTTTTGAAAAACAACTGCAATTTTACATCTGTTTTGTAATTGGAACTCACTGAAATTGAAAAAGGCCTTCCTTTTTTGTCTTTCTCGAGTCAGCTGGTCTGCAAACATGAGTTCTTCAAATTCTCTTTTGGAAACATGTTTCAGGATGTCCTGGAGACAATATAGACCACAAAGATATTGGATATTCACCGTGTATTGATATCTTAAAAAAAAAAAAAGAAAGCAACTGTGGGCAGAACATTACACAAAACTTGTTTCTTTAAAAGCAAATTAGCTAAACTGTTTTGCAAAGGTTTATTCCAGGCTACTCTGAAAATGATGTCATCTTGAACACAGTGTGTCCACAAGCCTCTAGAAGATATTTTCAGGGCTGCGTAAAGAGGTCCTTGTCTACACTCTCAATAAAATGCTGCAAATTAATTCATGCAGATGACAGAACTGTTTATGTTTCAGCTCCATTTTTCCACACTTTAAGTTTGTGTTGGATATGGAATAAACTAAGTTGATAATATTCTTGAATTGCAAAGAAAAAAAATTTTTTTTAAACTTCTTCAGGTCTAAAACAAATAAAAAAATAAACCAATAAGATCTTTCAAGTGCTTAAATTAAGAGAACAAAATGTGGCTTTCAGAAACGAAACAGTAAAAAAAACTTCTTTCTAAATTTAAACATGAATAGTTTCACTTTGAAGCAGAACATTTAACCTCAAGGTGGGGTAACTATTTCACTTGAGCATTACTCATACATTAAGTAAGCTAAAAGGGATGATGAATTAAGATTTTTAAGGAACTATTTTGTTTGTGGAACCTTTTACACCCTTCTGAATGAATCGACAAGGGATTGGTGGAGGAGTATGAGATTTAACCCTGGATTATAAAAAGTTTTTCTTCAAGTAATGTTAAAATAGAATAGAATAGAATAGAATAGAATAGAATAGAATAGAATAGAATAGAACAGAATAGAAGATCCCTTTATTGTCCCACAATGGGGAAATTCTGGTGTTTACAGCAGCCAGAGGATTATTATCAGATTATTATTAAAAATGTATTAGAATAACATAATAGTGAAGAGTTAAAAGATAAACAGTAAAATACTATATTGTAAAGTGTTTTAACAATATAAATACTGTGCGCCTGGGAAAAAAAATAACCAATATACAGCTATGGACATTTTTACAGTAGTGGACATTTGAAAAAGTTAATTTAATCCTTTTAAATGTTAAGTGAACCATTGTGTTTCATATCAAACTAGATTTTATATTAAACTATATGTCACATACATATATAAGTATATGTATGTGACAACTGTCACCACTATGGCATTCCCTCTTATAAAATAGGACCTTTAATTGTCCAAATTAGGCCATGGTCGTTTTAATCATATAAGAGAATTTTGTTTAGCATATAATTATATGTTGATTTTTTGGGGTTGTTTATTAATATATATATATATATATATATATATATATATATATATATATATATATATATATATATATATATATATATATATATATATATATATATATATATATATATATATATATATATATATATATATATATATATATATGTACATATACATATATATATATATATATATATATATATATATATATATATATATATATATATATATATATATATATATATATATATATATATATATATATATATATATATATATATATATATGTACATATACATATATATATACATACATACTGCAAGCATGGTTAGTCTGAGGGATTGTATTTGAGTCAATGAGTTGATGGAATCAACTTGTTTTCCTTAGATAGAAAACTCTGGTGAACTGTAAAGTACCTTGAGATGACATGTGGTGTGAATTGGTGCTATATAAATAAACTGAATTGAATATTCATATATAGCTTATATATGGATGAATATGAAACATAGGTAAGTCTGACCTGTACATCTAGATCAAGTCTGTAGTTGAGATCTCCACACCAGAAGAGATGGGTGAACCTCAGGCTTATATCAAAGGCAGAGAGCTGTTTATCACCCAGGGAGAGCAGTCTGAGGATGTCCACAAAGTTCTGATTCCTCCTGAATATGACAATAAAACAATTAAAAATCAATAACATAAACAACATTGGTAAATGCATCTCATAGTGATTTATGAACCTTAGAACTTTGTCACTTCCAGAGGTGAGGTGGGAGTTAACAAACCCAAAAGATGTTCCATTAAAGAAGAAGGAGACTCCCACTCCTCCCTTGTTTCCTGAAAAGACCAATATTATTAAATCTCAACTTAAAAACAGAATTGCATTTGCTTTGTGAGATGGAGAGGATGCAAATAATCCTACCTAGAGTGTTTCCAAGACCGGTTTTCACACTGGCTGTGCTCACATGAGTAATGCGACTCTCATGCTCAGGCTTTACAAAGACCGCCAACCTCATATTGCAGAGGGACTGCACTGCCACCTTGTGGACAAAGCATTATATTACAACCCATTTTCTTTTTTCTGCAAGCATAACAAATTTCTTTTTTTTTTTTTTTATCTCAGATGCATTCCGTGATATTTTCTATCCTTTAAATCAGAAACACAGAATAATATTTTATAAACATAATAGAGTCACTTTTTGTTAAAAATTATATTTCTGCCTTAATAACCTCCTCATGATGCTGGTTACTCCTGGTGAAAATGGACAAAATTACCTGTTGAGAGAATCATGCATTTCCACCTCTGCTTTTAAAAACAACTTATGTCAATAAGGTGACTTCTTTTTGTGAAGTTTACATAGATCCTAACATACACAGCACATATAGTAATATAAATGTTTCTTAACCAAGATTTTTCAAGTTTTAGATCAGTTAGAAATAGCAGTAATAACTGTAGTAAAACAGCTTCATTTGTTTGCACTGAATTTTCAGTTTTTCAAATATGAGAAATTAAGTTTTGCATATAAGAATAATAATTTAAAACAGCTCCAAAAACCACTGCAGTTAAAATCTTTAACATTATTGAACAAGTTTTTAGCACTGATATCTTAAGCTTTAAGCCATTTTATTTTAAACATGTGACTGTTTTAACTGCTGCGCTTTTCGCTTGTTTAAATTCTAACTAATCCTGGTCATGGTGACCACAAAACTGGCTTAAATTGGAAGCAACCAGACTTTCACTTTAACCAGATATAAGCCTTTTATGTGGTTTCATGCTTTCGATAACCAACTGGAGTTGGATTAAAGGTAAAGGTTCAGTGTTCTTTAGATGTTCAGTTGTAACAATACAAACTGCTGCTAAAGAGTTGCTGCAAGATAATGACAGAAAAGCTTTTTATTTTATTTCTTAAGTAGGTTTAGATTTACTACTTAGATTTAGTTTACCGTTAGTCAGGTTTTGTAACTGTTAGAGGGTGGCAAAGTGTTTAAAGAGCAGCACATTTGCATCCTGAAGTGCCTCCAGAGGTTGGAGGTTTAAGTGCTGTGCAAACAGGGCAGTAAGGATGGAGGTAGTAACAGGAAGCAGGAGGTTTCTTCTCAATAGTTTATTTAGCATAGGGACCTCCAAACATTCCTGTCTGGTGCATAGGAGCTGTAAAGTTTCCCACAATCCTTTGCTCAAAGGGGCAGAATAGGCTCAGCCCACCTCACAGAGTTTAACAAAAATATATTATTTCTTCATGTGAACTCTTAGTGACACAAATTAGGTTGAAAAGATGTGAATATGATTACTAGTTTGAAGTCGATTTGAGTGTAGCTGCGTAGAGTTGCTTTGATATGCTCTGTCCACTCTTTCTCCCCCTGAGGGTTTTCCTGAGTCCCTAAAGCATAGATGTCATGTGGAATAAAAGCGGTGGACTCATCAGGGGTGTGTCCCAAACCACAGCAGGTCACCCATGACTGCAGGCTTCGAGGAGGAGGAGAACCACCTGCACATACAAAAATATGCTTATTGAGCTTTTGTCTCAGAGGCCAGTGAAAATCAGCGTCCGAACAGAGTGGATTACCCATATTCCAGGTGCCAACAAACACAGAGACCACATCAGGTTGCTCCAGCTGAGAGTGCCTGGACTTCATCAGCAGGAAGAGTTGGCAGAACGAGTCACATTTCTGAGGGGGATGAAACGAAAATCATGTAAGGGAAGCAGCTAATTTAATTGAAAGGTTAATCTCATAATCCTGCCTTACCCGAGCGCTCTCAAATGTCATCTCCCGCGGTGTGCTGAGGTAGCTGTCAACAACCATACGGATCTTGGCTGGGTAGTTTTGGAACTTGACAATCTGAAGAACTAATACAATAGTAATATACAGTTTTACTAAAAGAAAAAAAAAATCACTCTAAATTACTGGTATAACGTTAAAGATATCTACAAAATGCATGTTAGTTGCTGTTTTTGATTATACCTCAGCAACTGTAGAGAAATCCTGCCTACATGAGGGTAAATCTGTGTCGTACTATGAACACCTGACCTCTAAACACCAGTAAAACATTTAATATTAAAAATAATAGGTGTAACATTGTAAAATGTGATGCAAGGAGTTAATGTTACAGGTTAAAAAATGAGAGATTATCTTACTTCTGTTATGAGAGACTCTCTCGATGCCAAATGAGCCCACCTTCTTGTCAAATAACAGGATTCCTGTGTCAACATCCACAGAAACAGTTTGTCTACCGTACCTCACCATCTTCACCTGGAGACAAAATGTCAGGCGCCGATTATTGCTTTTATTTTGAAGTATTTTATTTCAAGAGATTAAACTATTGATCAGATTATTGTGAGATAGAATGTTTCCATGATTGTCAGTGGAAAGAAATAGGGAACATCCGTTAATCTCATTAGTTGCTCAGTAAAATCAGAGGGAATTTAGCCTAAAAGTAGGCCTTTTATGCTCCTAGGAACAATTTTCAGCCATAACAAGATCAGGGTTTTGTCTGGGCCATTGTAACACCTTCATATAGATTTTTTTTTTTTTTTTCAGACATTATTTATATACAGGCGAAAACAGAAACTTTACATTTTATATTTTCAAACACTCAATGTCCTTTCTCTACTGTATTGGTGCCAGAATGGAATAAAAAATATATTGAATTTGCTGTTTCTTTCCTCAAATCTAGATGTCATGACCCTGCCCTTTGTGGATATTTTTGTTTCTGTTTAAGTTCCTGTTTGAGTTTTCATAAAAAATTTTATTTATGTCATTCTGTGTTTTCTTGGTAATTTTTTCTTTTTAATTTTCTGTTATTTTAGTTGTTTTCTAGTTCTATTTTAGCAGTGTTTATTTTTTGTGTTGCTCTCTGTTGCCCCCTTGTGCCATTCTCCTTTCCCCTAGCTTCTAACCACGCCTTCTCCCCATCAGCTGTTACCCCAGTCTTTATTCTGTCTCCCATATATACTCTTGCATTAAAAGAACTGTGTTATTCACTAGGTCCATTACACACATCAGGTTTAAAAAAAAAAAAAAACCTTGCATGTACGTTTGACAAGGATCTTATAAAAGAATGATCAGCACTTTTTAACAGAAAATTAACTATTTATAGGGAGATAATTCTAGAATTCAGTTGACAGGATATGTGATTACTTGTTTTTTGGTTTGTTTAATATGAGCAAGATGCAGATCATTTTATTTTTATTTAGTTATATTTACAGTGCATGAAAAACTACTGTAATTATTTTCAGATTACACATAAATGGATTAATTAATTCTGCAGGGGGAAAAGGAATTACTTTAGGGCTAGGATTAGGATTCACTCGATGATAACAAGCTAAGTCATTATATGGGACTGAAAGCTGCTCACAACAACCATTTATTGGGATGATAACATCCGAAGCATGACTGCAAACACCCACTTAGTTGTTACTTTTGTAAAAGAAGACTGAATCTACATGAGAAGGGACCCATGAGATGTTGCACAGGTTCTATATATTACAGCAACATTTTTAGATTTCATCTTCACCTGCTGCCAGAAGATTTCACCTAAATAGATACATTTATCTTCTATCATTCAAGAAATAATCCTGTAAAATTTTCATGGTAACAACATCTTTGGCAAGCCATTTTGATATGTACTAGTTTTACAGAACATGTATTCCTGATATCTTAAAAAAAAAATTCTTTGGCTAAATGACCATTTCAAACAAAGATACATTTTCCACATCTTGAATAAACATTCTGGATATAAAAATTTATTTCAGATCTCCAAATGGCTAATATTACTGGTCAGCATTTGCTTTATTTTAACTATGAACATTTTTTTCAGATATCATAAATACATTTTCAGGCAAGCTGAGAAATGTCAGAACAGCCAATTAAAATGTGTTAACATTTTTAGATATATAAAACTTAATTCTTACTAGTATAATTTAGTATTTTTTTATTTTCTAAAATTCATTTTTATGCTATAAAAATTTTACTTAAATATATTATTACAGTTAGTCTTGGAGTGTGATTTTGATCAGGTAGAATCTTATTTTAGTGATATCCAAATGGAACAACAGAGAGGAGTGCTTCTAATAAATGTAAAAAGGGCCTGCTGCTTCATAAAAACTTACACATTAACTCAATTAACAATCTTCTACTTCGCTACCTTCCTCTCCTTTCTAGCTGAAGCATTGTCTCTCTGTCTTTTAAACACATTCTCCTTTTTTATTTCATTTTTTAACTTAAAATAGGTCCACTTAACTCTGAGTGGACCAATTTAAAATTGATTGAACTAATTGATAGCAGCCATTGTGAAACTGAACACTCAGAGTTCCCGACTTTTGGCTAGATCAATTTAAAGTTGCAGATTTTAATCTGAATTTGTTAAACCTGCTTCATGAAATGGACCCCTGGCATCACCTGGTTTTGATTAGTTGTTTATTGTTCCAGGATTTGTGTTTCTATTGCCATCTACATCCATTAATTCTTCAAGAACTCATCTCTGCATTTGGATCCTCAATCAACTTCTACTAAACCTGACACTAGAAGTTTGAATGCAGTCAAATAAATCTGCCTTCAAACCATTTGAGACATCTCAGATGATTACGACGATGTCTTAGCTTTGTAAGCTTTTGATTTGACCATTATATAGACTTTAAAAAAAAAAAAAAAACTAAACAGCTACCAGCTATGAGTCTGGTTTATCTTTTGGTTATTGCTGTAGAGGAAACTGTACATCAACTGTAAAGCTGGTGGGCTGCCATCAAGATGCAGCAGGCGCCGCCCAGAGTGTCCCAGACGCTGCAGCCCCGGAAAACAGAGAACAAACAGGAGTCCGAAGCCAGGTCAGGCAAACAGATCAGAACAAGCAGGCTCAGTGGTTGGGAGGCAGAGTAATTAAGCCAATCGTCAGCGCCAAGATCATGAAAAATACCTACAGTATCAGAACTTTGGCTCCAAGTTCAATTCTAAAATCCAAACATTAATCCTTTCAATCCTATAGTGATTTAAGGTTATGTATATTAACCATAAAATTGCCTGAATATAGGTATGTGGCATGGACTACTTTTTCTTCAGCCAAGTAAGTACGTAATGCATCAGCAGCTAAGTTAAGCACAGCTGGCTGCAGTTACTCACTCCCCTACAGAAGCTCCACATATAACCAAGATGTGGAGAAAACAGTGAGAAGTTGTTGCAACGTAACAGCTTCATGAAACACCTCAGGTTGAACCACAACACACACTGTAGTATGCAGGGATAATGATGAGGAGAGGAGAAGAGGAGGGCACCGTCTCATGTGCTACTGCTGCTACCACGGCAACACACATCTCTAGGGGAGTCCTTCAGTGCTCCAGGCAGGTACCAGCTATATGCAGAGGGAGATACTTTAAACAGCCCAAAGCACTGTGTCAGTTAGAGGCGCTCATATTAAGTTAAAAAAGTTTTTTTTTTTAAATGCTTGATGTAATGTGTATTATTGTGGTCATATTACTCTTGAAGAGTACTGATGAAAGAGAGCTGAAAATATACGTATGCACTCCGATTTTCACCTAAATAAAAATATTTGTGGCTGTAAAAACAATATTTCATAGCCTGTGAATAATTTTAATAATATATGTTTAAAAAAATAAGTGAAAAACAATATAGAAAATAAAAAATGAAAATAAAATCAACCAGTACAAACATCCTTATTAAAGCCAAGAGAGAAAAGATGAGACTTTAAAGGTCTCTGCAGATGTTTTCCCTTCTCTGCATAGTGTTTCCCTGCAGCCTTATAAACAAAACCAATAAGACGGCATAACTGGAGATGGTCAAAACTGCAAGGGATTTATTTTTGAGAGCATTTCATTAGGAAAACCTGACCTCCGTTTTCCTTCTGAGCAACCAATAAAGTCTATTCTTTTGGTTTTTCTATTTAGTCAGAAACTGTAGTTAAATGCAAGAAAGTGTTGGTGTTTTTTTAAGCCAGATTTACCTGAAAGGAGTGGACAGGCAGCTGTCTGGTGTTGCTCTTTGCAGGAGCTGCAGTGTTGGGTGCTGAATCAGGAGGTGGTGGGCTGGGCTGCATTGCCAGGTTGTGATTTGTCACAGCATCTTGTAATGCTTGTAAAACCTACAAATGGAAACAATAAAGAAGTGTTTCACTCACAGACATATTGGACTTTATATGGAACAATAGTTTTCTTTGGTGTTTCTACACCCATAATCAGGTTCTAAATTCATACCACCACTAAAGATTAACTAGTTGTTGCTTTATCCTAAATTGTGTGAGTATAAAATGCAACCAGAAACCATGATACATATGATTTTTTTCTGTATTTATTTTTAGTTTGTTAATACTGTGAACATACCTTTTTCTCCAACGAAGAAAGGAGGCTGATCAGAGCTGAGATTTTGCACAACAAGCTTTCAATCTCCTTCTCTGGACCCTTGTTCCCAAAACACAAAATCAAATCCACACTGAGTTTGTGTCTGATTTCCTTAAGGAGCTGCGTTACTATTATGAAAAACCCCTTGGGGATATTGTCAATGGGTATTGATATAGTTCATGGTGTGTGTGACTACCTGTGCCTTGACAGGATTTATAGAGCAGCTGGGATGGTCAAAGACTTTGGCCAAGGTTTCCAGACTGGAAAGTGTCAGATCTATCTCACTGTAGAAGCGATAAAAGAGTGTTTGTTTGTCATTATTCAATATATTAAATTTTGTCACATGAGAAATAAAATTCAGGTCATATTCAGTGCGCCTCAAAAGTTTGTATATTCATTGACTTATTATAGATTTTTTTTCATGATACAGTCCAAATAATAAAAATTATAATCCAACTGTTATCTTATGTGATAGAATTAGAATAGGATATTACTTTATTGTTTCTCAGCTTTGAAAAAGGGGTTTATCAGCAGAAAAGTTTACAACAAAAGAAAAATACTGTCCAAAAAAACAGTTAAGTGCATCATTGTAAAGTGGAAGCGAATAAATAAACAAAAAAATAAGTGGAATAAATAAACCGTCAAGAATGCAAAGGGAGCACTAAGTCTTTTTTGAAGTTTGGTAGAAGCCAGAGCAGATACAGCAAAGATGTAAAAAATGTTGCCCTGGTCTGAAGAAACCAAGCTTTAACTTTTAAACCTACATATAAAACAGTATATTAGGTGGGGAAGTAAGCCCTGCCCTTTGCCCTCACAACATCATCCCCATGGTTAAACATAGTGGTGGTGGTATGTAATGCCTTCCTAGTGTAATACCTTCTAGCAGTACAAAACTTGCAGCCTTAAACCTGCAGGCAGAACATCTGCGAAAAGGCTCGATATTTATATTATTTAACAAAAGTATAGCCCATATCAGAGAGAATGCTTTTTTATAAATGCCTTGCATCTGGTCTGACTGAGCTTGGAGTTTTTTGGAGAAAAAGGATGATCCAATCCTCAGTCTTTAGACGTGCAAAGCTGGAATAGATGCAAAACGTCAAACATTGTATTTAGTTTTTAATGGCTTACGGGGGAACAATAAAAATGCACGTGACACATTCTAAATGTTATTTCATTCATTTTCTTCAACTTCATAACTTATTTGTTGTTGTTGTTTTTTTTTTTTTTAGAAAATACAATCTAATAAAATGCATTAGGGCTTGAGGTTATAATGAAACAAAAAGTACAATAAACATTACAAACTGCATCTGATGGTTACTTTTAACATCAAGAAATATGCTAACCTGTTGAGGCCTTGGCAGGCTGTAGCCAAAGTGCGCTTGAGGCGATATAAAGTCGTAGCCCCTTTATGCACATTCTCAATGTCCAGAGGCAGCTCACTGAAGAGGTAGTCATTGAGCAGGCCAATCACTTCACCTGCAATACTGCAGTACATAAAAAAACAATAAGGGTCATAATAATATTCAAGCTATTTCGGTCCTCCTGAGTATGACTGCTGCTGGAGTGGAAGTTAAATGTCATCTCAGAGGTGAGAAAAGACTTTCTGAAACTGGTGGGAAACTGAGCAGAACAGTGGGGTTTATTAATATGAGCTGAACAGTCACATGGAAGAACAAGCTGTTATGCTTGATTGCCAACAGGTGCACGTGTCTATAAAAACTGATTAATGGAAAACATAATGACTTGTAACCAAGAAACCTTCTGCAGTGTGACTCTATTGTGATTAATTTTTAGTATATGATAAGAATAAGAATAATAATAATACATTTTATTTGTATTGCACTTTACATTTAAAAAAAATCTCAAAGTGCTACAAAATTCATAGTTAAAACAAAACCGTATAAAAGAAGGAAGTAAAATCCCTCCTGAATTTTAGTTTTACAAAATCATTAAAAGCTTACATTAAGTCTCTTTACTAAATAATGAGACAGAAAGAATCCTAGCAGTCTTGCACACTTATATTTAGATTTTAATTTGATATTTATATAATCATTTTCCCACTATCTGACATAAATCAGCTCTTTATATATGCTAATTGCATGGAAAGGTAAAAACTATTTTTTGTTCTTATTATTTAAAATCGTTTATTTAAAACCTTTGTGCAGTTCAGGACTCCCATTCGGTGATATCTTGGTTTTGTAGGGTTTTGATTGGTTCATTCAAAATTGTTTAATAATTAGGAAGCACAGCTGTAGATCTACATGGCAAACATTTTGGATAGTTACAAAAAATCTCAACTCTATTATCCAAGAAGTTAAGGAGATCATTTTGCAGCTGAAGCTTAAAGGTGTCACATTTATCAGTTCAAACATTTATTTGCAAATAAAAGCACATTGAGGATGTGCAGTTATTATATTGTTCACAGACAAGATAGGTTCAATGTCCCAGAGATGAAATGTTTTGGTACAAAATGTGCATATAATCCCTTAATCCAAAGCCAGACACCTTTTCAAGATGTTCACTGATGCTTGTAAGAGAGGGCCATTGAGAGAGTTTTTTACTAGCCGTCATTAAAAGGCTACTTACTAAAAGTGAAGCCAATACTCAGCCAAAAAGTTTGCAGGCCCACATGGCAAGATGTTTAGGAGTTTTACTGCAGCAAAGTCTATGCTTTAGAGTGGTGGTCAAAAAGCCCTAATCTCAAACGCTTAGAAAATCATTAGGTAAAGCCAAAAATGGTGTCAATAGGTTAGGCTGCAACACCAAAGTCAACATAAAAAAGAAAATGAGGTGATGTCCTCTTTATAGTGTTTGCCTATTTTCCATTATTGTTATTACTTTAATTAATGATTTATTTATGTTTTGTCATTGAAAAGAGAAACGCATCACAATCTAAGATCGTTTTTCTATTTTCAAAAGGATTTAACATGACACATATTTCCACAAAACATACTATACTAGTATATTCTCAACACCCCAAAAAAAGATGACCAAACATTTAGAACATAAGCGTGAAAAATATTGACACATTTATCCATATTACCACATGGGTGGGTTTAGTTTTCAATTGAACAGGAGACACAGTGCAAAGAAAAAAGTTTTACTAGTCACTTAATGATCCAAATAACTATCACACACATACACTCGTGACATTACTGTTGAGTTGTTTAAATATGTGTGTTCAATCTAAAAGTTATTCTCCAATGTCTTCTTTGGGTCTGATTTTGAGTCATCAATGCAGAAATGTTAGATGATAACGTTTTGAGGTCAACTAAACAAACTGTGAGGTTTATATGGTAAATTCATCTGTGTAGTTATATCCAATCATTAAAGCAGGCTATGTCACTTATGACCTAGTTTATATATGGGTTTGTGGATGGTTGTTTAGGGCATTTTTTTGGTTTATTAGCTAACATCACAAAGACCAAATTAACCTTAAAGTGGCAAAAGCTTGATCCAAATGCAGTGGTCCACCTTTTTTTTTTGGTTTAGATTTAGTGTCACAATTATTTCCCCTTGAATCAGCCGAATGATTTTGCACAAAATATGTACTCTGATAATGTATTTTTAATGGCCACATGGATGGATGGATGGATGGATGGATGGATGGATGGATGGATGGATGGATGGATGGATGGATGGATGGATGGATGGATGGATGGATGGATGGATGGATGGATGGATGGATGGATGGATGGATGGATGGATGGATGGATGGATGGACTAAAATGAATTCAAAGCAAAGTTCTAATATGTTTAGGAATACAAACTTCATCTTCAGGTGGAAAACATTTATACTTTGATGTGTTCAGCTCTTGCAGCTTCTCCAGGAATAAGGTATGAGGGGCTGCTTTTGGTGGCGATCCCATGAATGACACTGTGTTGACAGGAGCTGGGATAGGCGCTGGCTTCTCATCGTCTGTGTTAAAATAAAGAAAAAAAACAAATTAGATTCAATAGTAAAGCTCTCGGATTTTTAACAGTTAAAAGACGTCTTTCAACCCAAACAAAAAACACAGAAAACTTGTTGAAAGTATTTACTTTTTTAAAATAATTTTCTCATTTACCATCCTTAAGCCACTCAGGTTCAATGTGTTTTATTGGGATTTCATGTGATGGATCAACCACAAGGTAGGGAAGTGCAGTTAAACTGGTTTTATAGATTATTTGTGTATTATTTAGACAATTTAATCAAAAAATTCTTTAGTGAACCCAAATGGAAAATAATTGTTGTTTTAACTCATAGTTTTGTTTTAGTTCTATTCAATTGTTATATATAGTAAGAGCTGCAGGCAGGACTGATCTGTAGCAGTCTGTCTACAGTGAATCTGGTGAAGCCTTTAAATAAAGAGACTCTGTTGTTGTTCAACAGTCTTCCGAAAAGGATGTTGAGGGTTTTTCCATAACTTTGTTTCTTTTATGAAGAATTGTCCTTTATAAAAATGATGAGGTTTAGAGGTTCTGGTGTTCCCAGAAAAGAGCGGAGCATCTCTTTTATTTATTCTATTGTTTATGAAGGAGCGACAATAAGAAGGTTCTTTTTAAAGAAAGCCATAAGAGATTTTATTTACTGTATAGAAAAAGACACCCACTGAAAGTCAAGTTAACTTTTCTGCTTAGACATATAATGTTATATATGTGGTAGAAATATGTACTACCTCCTGAATACACCATGGTGAAACTATGCAATGGCAGCATCATGCTTTGAGGATGTTTTACTGATGTAAAGTTGGATTTGAAAAAGTCGAAGGAGGAAGCTTGTGACCCACCTGAGCTTTCATCCCCTGAGTCTGTGTCATGGGACACAGGGTAGAGAAGAGGGGTGACCAGGCCTTTGTGGGGTTGCTGGTATCCCAACACCAAGTCCTCCAGTGTGCGAAAACAGTTCACCTGCACACCCTGTGTTGTCTTTACAAAAAAAGAAGAACACAGCAAAAACACTATTATTCTATTTTCAATAAAAAATATTACATTTTCTTTTATCCATGGAAACCGAACAGAAGCTTTATTCGTTTACAGTATAAAGTAACAATGCAAAATAAGAACTTTACTTTTAGGTTTAAGAAAAGAACTACATCAAGGACAGCAATGCAAATACTCTGAATAACCTAAAATAGAAAATGTTACATTTTAGCTTGATGAGTTTATTAACGGATGTTAGACATAAAAGCTCATCTCTTCTAAATTATTTCCCTTTTTTAAAGCAGATGTATTCATTTGCATGACAGTAAATGGCACATACAGTACAGATGATGTGGGATGATAAAATATATATTCCCTGGGGAATATACAAATCTGAGCCGCAGAGAAGTGAAGAGAGCAACGGCTGATCATTATGTTTCTAAAAGCAAATACCATATCCCTGAGTAAGTTTTCACTTTTTGTTTATTTTAAGCATCCCCTCAGTAGCCAAACGTCCACTCAATCAAACCTGATGCATTAAAAGCAAAAGAAAATCAGGTTACATGCCAGCACAGCTTTACATGAGCCAGTCTAACGTGGTACATTAGACCACAACTGCAGAGAGAACAGCTTCTTCCTGTGCTCTCTTTAATTTTTTCACTTTCATTTTGTGGTGAGAGAAACCTCTTTTTTGGCTTTAACTGCCTGTCCGTTCTGTCCAAAGTTCTTTAAATAGTATTTTTTTGAAACCACAAATATCTCTTGAAAAGTCATTCAAAAGAAATGAATAGGACACGAGGCAGCGATCCCGAAAATATCTACTCAGCCTTCTTGGAAAAACAAGAAAGGGCGAGCATGCGACTTGTGAGTTAGTGGAGCAATTCCAGTCTGGGGGGAAATCACATACTGGAGGTTTATACTGATGGCAGTGGAAAAACAACTGAAATAGCAACAGGGTTAAGCGGCCTCATTAGAAAGAAGAGTTTTTCAAGTCAAAGCCATAAAAGCTCCTGCCAGATAACTGGTATTAACAGTTGGTGTAACTGTTGAAGAAAATGTAACATATGCATTTTACTTCATATTCTTGTGTGTATTATGAGTTTTATTCCTTTTGTCCAAACTAAGAATCTTAAAAACTTTGTTGCAAGCAGCCCAACTTCTCTTTAAATAATTATGCCAAATACAACCCCCTCGCTAAACACGTGTGTAACAAATAAGCAAACCATTTGGTCAGTGAATTAGTGAGTGGGTCGGAATCTTTGAGACATGAAAACAATTTCTCCTCTGTGCTGCTGAGCTCATGCTGCAAGCATGCAACCACATGGCGGGGATGCCATTCAAACAACAAAGTGGCTGCAGCCCTAGCTAAGTCTGCAGAGAGAAGAAACACAAACTCACTCCTGTTCTCCATGCAACATGGAAAAACAAACCTATTGTCTGATGCTTTCCAACAGCATCTGACCAGCAGGGTTTCTGACTGGCTGAACAATCAGTTTCAAGGCTTCATGCATCCTTTATAGTTTTCCTTATAACTGTTACTTTGCAAGAGATTTGCATCTAAAATGGCAGCAATACCTTTACCTGAACTGCCAGAAGACCATCTGGGTCAGGAAGAATACGGTATGTGTGAACATGGCGTTGAAACCTTTGGGAAGAAAAAAATCAATGTAAGCAACAACAACCAAAACTCACAGGAAATGGGAAACAATGTTTGTTACTAGCTTTAATGTGTTTGTTCACTTTAGTTGCTTGAAGAGAGTCATTAAAAGTCTACCTTTCGTGTAGAGTGTACCGCAAACCTGTGGAAAGTTTTCTCTTCACCTGAGAGATCAAAATGGATTTAATGCCACAAGCAGCTGAGCAGTCTTCGCCAGCTCAGCGCTGCTCGGCCTATCGCAACCACCAGACCTGCAAACCACTGCTATGGAGTTACTTTTGCGTTTTTTTTTAAATGCAAGTATAAAATGAGCCTGAAAGGGGAAAATAATTTTGAAATTAAAATAAATATATTAGAGAAAATACATTTTCACTCTGATAGCTAAATCTGATGTTGTTTGAGACTGAAGAAAAGATCAGAGTGAAAACATTTTCACCCAAAAATAGATTTCTCTCTCAACTTTTCTTTCACTGAAAACCTGTGATTCTCCAATATATATATATATATATTTTTACTTTTAAAATGACTCCCCTTTTACACCATTGGTCCAACAGACTTTTGCATGCATCCTTGTGGTTTATTCATGTGGACCAAAGAATGGTCTGAGACCGCTTTATTTTTGTTTAATGGTGAGAAATCTAAATTTGAAGTTTGGCCATGCCCACATGTTTTGTCGCAGCAAAAATCTTTTGATACATTTTGATCCCTAATACCTAACGTCTTGGCTCAGTCAAGTAGAAGTTTGTGGCTCAAAAGCTCTAGGACGAGTCCGCTCAAATACATCATGAAGTTAAAAAAGCAAACTGATGCCTTTGATTTAAAATGACTAACTTCCTGTGGGGTTTGGAGCAGGGCTCACAATATACTTTATGTCAGTTACACAAGTGTACCAAATTGTATAACTCTCAGTCAAAACATGGCCTGGAGCATACATTTTTTTATGGTGAAATAACCCATTTTGACACTTGGCCACGCCCACATGCTTTGATGTAGAAAAATTATTTTGATAAATTTAGATCCCCGATACCCCGATAATGTAGAGTAAATTTGAAGTTTCCAACTCAAAGCTCTAGGAAGAGTTTGCTCAAATTCAACAGGAATAACTGATTGAAAAAGGCACATTTGATCGAAAATGTCCAACTTCCTGTGAGGTTTGGCTCCATGATAATTTTTTGTAGATCCAGAAGGCATACACATTTGTGCCAAGTTTCATAGTCTTCAATATAAGCACGGCTTGGGGTGGTTGTTTTACTGTTTCTAAGGTGCGTTTTAGAGATATTAGGTCATGCCCACTAAATATTGGGCTGGATCCCTGTGTGAGGTCGGTCTAGGATCCATCATATCGTTTTTGGTCCAGATACAAAGATCTATGTGGAAATAAGAGACAAAAGTATGGTCATGCCGAAATGCCTCACTTCGCCATGCCGCCATGACAATTATTTTTAATTAAAAATTTCTCTGTGTTTAACAAATTTATGCCAACATGTTATCTACCTTCTGACCTGGTTTCAAGTCTATGGGATTAAAAATGTCAGAAAGGGACCCTCCCAGGTGAAAAAAGTGACTTTCTTTCTCAGGAGTTGGGACATTGATGATGTCATAATTTGACCAGCCAGTATCATCAGGACTTGGTTCAATTTGGATGTTTTTGTAAAAGCTATTGCATTTCAAATTGCTTGAAAAGTATCCTATCTTTGTCTTCAGCATACCTGCTAACTTTAAATCTCATATGCCTTACCTGCATACTGACCAAGTTTGATGCTGGTTGCTTAAAATCTCCACAAGGAGTTCTTTGAAGTTCGATGTGAACAAAAATGAAAAACTGACATTTGAACCAAAAATGGTCAACTTCCTGTGGTTTTTAGTGCATACCACCAAAATACTTTTTTTTTTTTTCATGATTTGGGGAAATCTATCTATGTATACATTTCAAATTTCTGTGACTCATGATATTCCAAAACTGACCTTAGGGGGAGCCATTGAAGCATTATGCCACGTCCATTTCTGATTCCATTAAAATATGTAAATTTCAAATGGGGGACAATTTTCTGTAAAGTCTGGTATCTTTTTGAACATTTTAAAGCCACAAAATAAGAGTTTAATTCAGTAGGAAAATGATTAATATTTGATTATGATAGACCTTTGCAGCGCTTTCCTGCTCGTGCCTAATTCTGCAAAGTGCTGGCAGAAACTTAATACTGCAGAGTACTTTGGACACACCATCCCTATGGTGAACAAAAAGCATTGTTGTCCTGATGCGGGAATATTTTCAGGTCAAAGTCCTGTGCTAAACTCAACTGTTAATCTATAGAAAGCAAATATGATTGCTTTTAAAATGCTCTCTTTGCAGTCTGACAGAGCTGAAGCTATTTCCCCCAAAAGGTTTGCAGTAAGTTTTAGTCTGTAAACCTGATGATTTTAGAAAAATAACCAACAACTGTAACAACTAAAATCACTTTGTGAATCTGTTTGTGAAAGAAAAAAATGTATATCCATCTACCGTTTCCAACTAATTCATAATAATGATGATGTTTGTGGAAGCTTATTAAATAACATCTCCATATTTTAGTTTCTGCTTTCAACTTAACAGAATTTGGGAAAACGTCTGTTACTCTATAAATGCTCAGATCACCGAGAAATTCAAGATCATACAAAGATAACAAAAACGGAGCTTAAAAAATTTGCAAGCCAACTTAGCCTTTGAGAAACATTCATCCAGACCCATTAATTACTGTACTTGTACAAGTTATCAGGCACTTGTGATAACTGGTAATGAGTCTTTCACGTCGCTGTTTTGACACACTCTTTTTGCAGAGTTGTTTAGATTTAGTCACAGTTGGTGGTTGACCAAGGAACAACCTGTTAAAGTCAGCATCTAGGTCAGATTTAAGTTTTAAACACTGAGTAGGCCACTAGTCATGTCAGCGTCATCTATAGGTGGCCTTTTTGGTGTGATGCTGGACAAAGAGGCTCCATGCACAATCCACTACTTCTTAAACTTATGGCAGCTCTTATTTCCTGTCTTTATTCTGCTTTCTACTGGATGAACTGATTAATCCAGGTATGTCTGTCCATGATTACTGAGGTCAGGCATTGATCAGTTCATCCAGTAATGTAAAGTCAGTAAACAAAAGAGCTGCCTTAAGTTCAGGACTTAGTTGAGTTGTGTGTAGAGTCCATTGATGCTGGACATACCCCTTTAGGTTGTGCTGACAGAGAGCAAAAAGTATTGTTCTTTTCACCTATAGAAAGTGTCTTAACAGCAAAGCAGACCCAGAACATCACACTACCCCCATCATGTTTGACTACAAATGTTATTTGACTAAAATTTTATACATTGCTTTTAGGAAAATCCACAACGATTTATCTCAGATATAAGATAGAAATTAATGAGAAAACTCGCTCATGGAGGCACATTTTGAGTGGTTCATCTCTTGCTGTTGAATCACAAACTGACTCAAAATGAGAACAAACTGCTTTCGGTATTGCTCAAAGTTCTTTTTTCATTTTGTTATTGGTTTTCTCTTGTAGTAATTTGAGTAGGCTGGGCTTCCTGAGAAATGTTTACCACAGTTCTTTTTTTTTGCCTCAATTGTGGTTTGCTGGAGTCTAAAATCGTTAAAATGGATAGATAACCATATCAAGACTAGTTAAATAATAATAGTTTTGTTTTGGATGGATCAAATTATGATCTATTGCCTTTTGAGGTCTCTTCCCCCACTTAATGCTGTTTGATAGAATTTATGTAGGTAACATTATGACTGCCATTGGTTTGTATTGTGAATTTAAAGTAGACTTTCCAAGTCTAAAGGTTAATGGCAGTTAGTTCATAATGTAGTAAACTATGGGCCAGATTGGTATATAAAGCTTTTCTTACAATGAGTAAAAATCATAATTTGAGAACTTTTATTTGCTCAGGATAACTTTAATTTGTATTGTATTTGTTCTGAAACATTAATCTAAAAAGAATTCTTAGAAAAAGTTGATTTTTTTTATGCTTCAATAACTGTCTATGTTCTTAAAGAGGGTACTAAATAATTTCGCAGAATACTGACCTGGTATAAGATTGTATTAGACTGCTGTCTGTTATTATGTCGAACTATGACAGCAGTTGTAGAAGACATTAAAAATAGGATGATATACAAAGAAAAGAATGAAAGGAAAGAGGCTGCATTGGGAGCAGCCAGGCTCAGCTTTCAGGAATGCATCTGGCTTGAGCCTGATGAGCAGAAAGCGTAGTGCGGTTGCTGGAGCCCCGGCCCCTTTTTAGGGGCCTGAGAGAAGGAAAGGGGGGTTAAATTAGGGAAACAAGGAGTCATATGTTTGGGTTTGGCTGATGTAGATGGTTCTAACAGTCCAACTTGATGGCTTTTTTTCAACCAGGTGGTAAATGTTGAAGCAGGGGTTGGTTATTCCACAAGGACTTTACAAAAATGATATCAGTTAAAGTTATTTGTTTTATTAGACTAGACAATCCATAGTCAAGAATACCGTTATATAAACAAATATTTACATATCATAACAGCTTAGATTAGACTGTATTTTAGATGCTATAAATAAATAAGTGTGTGTTTCTACTTACAGCAGGCACAATGCATATGCTCCTGGCACTGACTCACTGTCTCTCACCAGGTAGCTGCCATCCCTTCCTGCCCGTGCCAGCAAGTCCTCTGCTCTCACACGGCTGATGTCACAATGGTACCATGATGCCGAAGCCATGGTAGTCAATGAGGAGGACAACGCTCACGAGAATAATCCACATGAGGTTATTAACTCTGCAGAGGGTCCATGTCCAGCACAGGTTTAAAGTCTTAGGCTTGCAGTCATTTCATAGCTCCGGAGGTCTCTCTTGCAAGTCAGTGGCATCAGAAAACCACTGTGGTCTGCTTGAGTATTTAAAGCCTTCCCATGATTGTGGCACTTCCTGGGTCCTTCCTCGTTGCGCCAGGGTAACCCATCACATTGCTTTAAAGCAAGCAGATGTGAAAAGAAATGCCACCAGGTTATTCCACTCCAACACGCCCTCTACTTCTCAGCAAAATCCTCCATTCTGGTCATATCTTTCTCAATAAAGCCCCAGTTTCTGATTTAATGTTGTTAGCGTCTCCACCCTGTGAAAGTGTGCGTGTTGATCCAACAAACACAGACCATCACAGCTGAGCAAGCGCGAGAGGAGAAAGTGGTAGAGAAAAAAACAGCAGAGTCTGAATGAAGCAGCCAGTCCTAAGGCGACGACTCTTCCTCAGGCTAAACCACAAACACAAGCCCTCCTTCTTATCCCAAAACAAAACCTCTATATTCAAACAACAGGAAAAGATGAACCAAAAATAGGAAAACAAACAATCTGAAGTGAACACATGCTTACCACACACACACTCACATATGCACAGGCATAGCAGATGGAAATCAGTCAGCATTAAAACCAGACAGACGTGCAACAGAAACCAGACTAATTCAAATAACTTCCCTGCTCTGCTGCCATATAAGGGAAAAGGAACACCCTCCCTATAAGTTCAGCTGATGACTGCAGCCGTCTTTGCTTTTTTTTTCAAATCCTTATTCCATTAAGAGTGAGCATCAAAGGATGTGGGCTCCTGCAGGAGTCTTACTTTCAAACCTAATGTTTTTGAGTTGCAGTCAGAAGAGTCCAATGCAAACTGGTGTGGTCTTCTTCAGACTGCTGTCAGAGCAGGGGAGGGAGCACAGACACAGAGGAAAATCCTGTTATAGGGTAGGACAGACAGAGGAAGTGACTTGACATTCCAGATGGCAGGGGAAGCCAGGAGCATTCTTGTGAGGGGCTCAGCTACACCTCCATTGCGTAAAAACTACTTCCTTCTTCGCCCTCCTCTCTGTTTTCTTCTTCATGTACCCCTTCCTGACTAATATTGTTTCAAAAGGAAAAAACTTCTTTGTCCAGAAAAGTCCTCTTACATTCTTAATCCTCAGCTTCCCGTCGCTTTAGAATATTTTATCCTTTGACTGCACGTCTTCTGTTGATAAAAACCTTCAGATTCATTTTTTTCCTTTGTCACCCTCTCTTCCTTCAAGCTCTTGCTCAGTCTTTCCCTCTGAGCAAACACCCTCTCCATATGGTTATGATCATCCCTTTCTTTCTTATTTTTGTCCTCCTTGTACATTGCCAATTTTTACCCCTCCTACGTCCCTCCCACTCCATTAGCAGGAGCAGAAAACCATGTGGGAAGCTGCTTCACTGCTCAGCCTCACACTACTCAGCAGAATTTTTGCCGACCACCAACCACAGACCCCATAAAACAAACAGAAACAAATCCATAACAATTCGATGCATCTTCTTAGCTCTCATTTTGGGATCACTGCTATTTATTTGTGCTTTGCACTGCAAATGTCAAAAGAAGGCATTGACCTCAGCTAAAACTTTGCACTTATTACTTTATTTAATGTGGGGAGAGTAAGCTCCTTAACTCAATTATGAATAGGGACGAGAGTTTTTCTTTATATTTAAGATGCAGTGCCTTGCAAATGTATTTTTTTAAACATAGAGAATTATCCCATTACATAACATTATGATCCTTACCTTTTTTCTTATCATATTTACAATAAGAAAACAATAAGCATAATGTAAAGAAAGGACTGTACTGCAAATTTTAGATACATCCCTTCTCCAAAAAACTTAAATACGATGGTGTAAGCTCTGATTTGCTTTCCTGTCCATGCTGAATTTAAGAATTCCTGGTGTGTGATGCTGTGACATGGACATGGATTTGCTTGAAGGCCAAAAAAACCTGGTCCTGGTCGCCTCTGACCAGAACATTAACTTTGTCATGTTTTCAGTGTCTCCTGGGTTTCATTTGCAAAACTTGGGGGGGGGAAGGAGTTCTTTTATCTGCAGAGATGTGGTAAATCTTCCATAGAGGTCAGATTTAGACATAAATGGACAAATAAGAGTTCTCCTCACAAGAGACATTTAAAACAAAGCTTTGGATTTATGCAGATTTTCCAAAGTCCTCATAGGGCCCTCTGGCATCTCTCTGACTTCATGCACAATCGGTCAGATTGGTATTGGGAGCTTTGCAGTATTGCCTTGCTTCTAACATTTCTGGATTAATATTTTAGATAATTTTGAGGGAGATTTTCAACAGGTCCTGATCAAAAATAACACTAAGATATTTTACTTTATTATCTGAGATCAATTTAATCCCAACCAAAGGAAGTGACTGACTAATCAGCTTCTTTTTCGAAGACTGGTCCAAAGACCTAACTTCTGTACTCTTAAAAAAAACCTTTACAAGAACAACTGGATGTATGCTTGAATTAAATTACAGAAAGGGCAACTCTAATTACTAATTAAGGATGTACACAAATGGCTGGCCTAGAATAAATAACAAGTTTACAGTGAAATAACTTACTGAAAAGAATAGCCCCTTTAACAATATGTTTTAAAATCTTTTTGAATTAATCATTTTTTCTGCATTGTACAATAATGCACACCTTCATATGGGTTGAATATTGAATATTTTGTAAAATAACCAAGTATACTTTAGAAGAAATTTACCATTAATTTAAAAAGTGTCCTTGGAAGTGGTGGTCTCACTCCTCAGAGCTTGGCCAGGACGGATCCCAGGAGGAGTACACAAACACCTGGCACTGTAACGATATAGACAGATGACCCAAGTGTTCAGCCAATGACACAGCAGTAGAATTTAAACACTTTATTCTGAACTCAGGACTCTAGGAGCATGTCCGCGGAGGACAAGGGATAACTATATATGAAGATGTAGATTAGTGGCTTAAAGGTGTTCAATAATGAAATGCATGAAACCAACAAAAGCCACTAAACTTTTCAGAGTTCTCCCTTGGACGGGGGGCAGCAGCTTTAGCAGAGCGGACTGCTTCTTTAACAGATGTGGGGTTAAGGACAGCAGGGTGACTTGTAGCACAGAGGCAAGATTGAGGTCTGTGAAGCCAGACTAAGATAAAAAAAACAATCAGGGGGATTGGCAGGAGGCATAGTCAAGGTGCAGAAACAGGATCATTGTCCAGAAAGCAGTGAAATCCGACAAGGGATAGGCAAGAGGCAAAATCTGTGATGTGAAGACGTTGTCATGAACTGGTCAAGTAACATTAAGTGCTGGATGCTGCTTGTGCAAGGACTCGTAACTGAGGACCCAGAATTCAGGCAAGACAGACAGTGGAATAACTTAAAAGCATTTATTTTAACAAGCTGGTTTGCAGAAGCAGCAGGTAGTGCGTAGGCAGGAACGTATAGAGGAAAGAAACACAGGTTAGTGACCAACATAATCTGATGGAGGATGATTATAAATGAGTGAGTCACTAACCTGGTTTGACAGTTCAGTCCGTGTCCAGAGAACAAGGATGATTCCAGCCAGTCGGCTGACAAGACACAGCGGAAGCTGCCAGAGAGTTCCAGACGTGGAAACCTAGAAGGCTGCAGAATTGACGGGAGATCAGATCCGAGCAGACGAAGGAAGGCAGGATAATCCAAGACAGGCCAGACAAACAGATCAGACAGGAACAGGCAGGCTCAAAAGTCCAGATACAGAAACAGCTCTGGATCAGGAAAAAAGAACACTATTAGACATCAGGGAAACAAACCCCAGTTTTCCACATGACAGGCAGTCATGTGGGACACAGGGAGACCACTATACCATTCTTGGAGAAGCTTGGAGTAGAACAGTCTCTCCTCCAAAAAGGAGGGCCAGGGAATAACCCAGGACACAATTGAGGGACTGTGTCTCTCTTCTGGCCTGGAAACACCACAGGCTTTCCCCAGCAGAGCTTGATAAGATGTCAGGAGAGAGGAAAGTCTCTGTTGAGACTGTGACCTGTTCCCAGATAATCCCATCCTTAAAAAATATTGGTTGAACGCCTAACAAAGGTTTGATGGAATTTAAGGTGTCAATGAGTACAAACAGGTATGGCAAAGGATTGGTAACTCTTTCTCTGCTACCCATTCACACCTGTGTAGAGGTTTCTCTGTAACTTTGTGGTGTCCTTCAAAATAACAAGAGAACTGAATGATATAATGCACATTATGAGGTTGCAAAAAGCTTACCCTTTCACTGCACAATTTAGGGCAGAACCAGCTAAGAATTACTAAAACAACACAATATTGTTTAAAGTTTTATATATAAATTAGGGAGCTGTAGTTGTGGATGTGCTATTGATTGGAAAGTTTGACACAAATACCTTAGTTGACTTAACCAAACTCACTAAAGGTCATGTGAGAATTGCAAAATACTGATGGCATCACACTAAACAAGCCTGTATTATTTACAATTACTTTGAGGTCATACTAAATTGTGTTTTAGTTTATAATTAAATTCAGCCATTTTGTCTATTTCTTACATTTCTTACAAGTCTAACATTTTATTAGAAAGACATTCAGCGGCTCACTAATAGTTGTAATATAGTTTCTTTAAATAGCAAATGTTGCATATCTGTCTCAATTTAGCAAAAATGAAGGCTGTGTTGTTAAGAGGGTGTAATACGATAGATCTCTAATGCACTCAGACAAGGCAGGAGTTCCTACAAAGGACAATACTGGTCACATATATAAATCACCTACCTAAAGAGGCACCAGATTAACTGTAAGGGGCTTATGTGACTATTTGTTGGCCTGCAGAGCTGAAACAGGTAAAACAGAGAGTGCATCATTAGGATACCAGGGCACAGCATTATTCAAGGCTCTTTTGTTTGTTCTCCACTGATAAGAAGTGGTAAGGAACATCTCTAAAATTACAGCTCTTGTTTTAATAGATCACTGGAACATAAGCCTAGACAAAACATTTACATAATAACGACTTTTTAAAGTTAATCAGGCAACTTTTTATATTTGTAACTTTCTCTTTAAGAGAAGGTTAATACACCGTAACTTATAATTATTTACAAATATATGTAAGTCCATTGTCAACATTAAGAGGGGACAACTATTTAACAAAGCTCCACCACAACACAGCTATTGTCATTTACCACTGAATGGCTCAGGTCTCTGTTTTCCACATTTGCTCTTTTCAAATATCGGGAAAGGCTTAAACATGGTATGACTCTCTTTAAATTTGATGTCCCAAGTAAATAGGTTAAGAACAACAGTGGTGTTATTACTTTAAAAAGGGTGTTTTTCTAACAAAAAATAAAACACAGAAGTAAATTAATGTTCATTTCTAATTAATGTCACAGGGCCCTTAAAAAGGTCAGGTAAACAAAACAAAACCTGACAACAAAAACAAGTCGGTTTACCAGCAAATTAACTGGTTGACAGATCAAAAATCAACATATCATAACTGTCCCCTTTGTGGAATTCTGTTGAAGTTTCTCATGAAGTTTCAGTTCCACTTTAATTTATGTCATTCTGTGTTTTTGTGATCAATGGTTTCTTTTCCATTTTGTGTTATATGTGTTTTATTTTTTGAGTTAGTCTCTGTTGCGTTCTTGTGCCACTCTCCTTTCTCTTAGGTCCTTCTAGTTACTTCTGTCTACACTTGCTCCCTATCAGCCAATCAGTCCTCCCATTGTTTTTGTCTCCTATACATACATCTCCTGTTCAGTTACTCATCGCTGGTTCCTCGTCATTCTTTTGATTTATTCCTCCCTAGTTTTTTGTCTCCTAGTTTTTTGGTTCTTCAGTTTCCTCGTCGATCAGTTCTGGACTTTATATTTTGTATTTTTACTTTTTCATTCAATTTTGCAAGTAATCTTCCCTGCCTACTTCTACTCTGCATTTACCAACATTGACAAAACAATAAAAAATAAATGGGGATATAGGTACTGGGTGGTCAGGCCACACAGAAACAAAAGGGGGAATTTTTAAAGGAAACAAAACTAACAGTTTGCCAGTAATAGAAGTAAAAAAAGAACAAAAATTACAGAAAATAAAATATGAAATATTCAGGTCATACTGTGCTGTTAAATAAGAAAAGACACAATCAATAAGAAAAAACATTTAACTAAATGTGTGTGTTTAAACAATGGAGTTAGAATGTTAAAACATATCAAACATGGTAATGCAATAAAAAAAGTGTCATATTTGTGTATATAAACACAGATGGCATGTCAGCTTTGATTTACGTGTTGCAGAAGGTGTGACCTTCATATTCTACAATGACTTTCTT